AAAAAAAAAAAAAATAAAAAAAAAAAAAAACATACAGACGAATTGAGTACCTCCTTCTTTTGGGAAGTCGGTCAAAAAGTGTTCGCGCGCTCTAAAGCGTAGCTTTTACAGCAGTGCCCTGGGCCTTGGTTTAAAGGGGTTATGTTAGCATATTCATTATAATCTATAATATATTTGTAACTATCTGTGATAACTTGTAATTGGCCTTCAGTTTTTTGTTTCTTTTGTTATAATTTTTCTTGTAAGTTAGCTGTAAGTTATCCTTAAATAAATAAAATAAAATATAACTTTGCCTTTGGCGCTCCTTTCTGTCTCTCTCTAACTCCGGCACTGATAAACGTCTGTAAGTATTTCAATTAACAACTCTGACATTTATTTTTTGCTAGATTAATACAATAAATATGTATGTTCACGAGGTGGCACCAGTGTGCTGAACGGTATGATGTACCACCGCGGCCACGCCGCTGACTTCGCAACATGGGGCGAGGAATGGTCCTGGGAGAAGAACCTACCATACTTCTATATCACTGAAGGCAATAGAGAAGTGGACACATTGGTTGATTCAAATTGTCATTCACAAACAGGACCGATGCCTGTTCAACAAGTAAGGTTATTTTTTTTAATATCGTGCAAGTATTTTAAATGGCGAAAAAACAATAGAAGAAGTAGCATTAGCTGCACGCGTACACTATAGTGATTGTGCTTGCCGGCTTTAATGGTTGAAGGAACGCATAAGGTTGGATGTAAAAGGAAAAAGAGCGGGCGCACACCTTTGACTAAAGAATCGCATAACTGCTGTGGTATTGCCGATTGTTTCGTAATTTAGTTGGACAACTAAAAATTTAGTAGTGTGCCTAACATATAACCTCATAGAAACAAAAGCAAGACTAAACAGTTGTGCGAAAATTTATTCAAAAGTGTGCGCACGCTCTATATGTAGTCAGACAAGGCATATACAATTACAGACACCTTCTAGAATAAATGATACATTTTAATTCTTTCCAGTTCAAGTACCAACCACCGTTCCTCTACGATATGATGAGAGCAATCGAAGAAGCTGGATTACCAATCATACAAGACATGAACGATCCCAATACTCCTGAAGGGTTCTGTGTGGCACAAGCTTTTACTGAGTCAGTTGCTTTATCAAGTAATTTTATGATAGTTTTTTACATACTGGACCTGAATAAAAGAAAATATCATTCGCCGGAATGGAATCTAACAACAAGGGATTTGAAAAGAAAATCAACTTGTATAGAATCTAGACTAGGGCCCGCGCTGAAGATCCATCCATTAAGAATATTTTCTATGACTAGTATTTGCGCGTAAAAGTCTAGCATCCATGGGTATTGGCAGGGGAAGGCAGAAGGGCAGCTGAACCCTAGAGGACATAATGTATAAATAGATGCCAAACCTACTTAGAATAAGACTATATGATAGCTGCCCTTTACCTCCAGACTTAGCCTAGTTCATTGGCTAGACAGCCATGCTTACAATTCTTATTTTTTTGAGCACTGTGTACCATTTATATTGTTATGTTTAAAACTGCCATGGTAATATTATCGCGCAGTTAATTGCTTAGTGGAAATAAAGTGTAACAGTTTGTATTTATTACAGCAACGGTCAAAGATATACAACAGCGAGAGCATATTTAAAGCCGCGTTTTTTGCGACCGAATTTACATGTCAAGATAAACGCACACGTCTTCAAAGTGCTGATAGAAGACAACCGCGCGTACGGCGTACAGTATTACGATGAAGAGGGGAACATAAAAACTGTTTACGCCACTAAAGAAGTAAGCGCCTTAAATTTTTGAACATGCAAATTATTTACTTTGCACTGGTCACTTTTGCAAAAATAGCAAGAAACCATAAATCCTTAAGTAGCATTGAGCTATGACGTCACAATGTAGCATTGATACAAGCATATTCTTATTACAAAACTAGTTTTCGCCCGCGACTCCGTCTACGTGGAAAAAAAACGAAAGTAAGTAGTCTATGTGTTCTTAAAGACTATCGTCTACATCTATACAAGTTTCATCCAGATCCGTTCAACAGTTTAGGCTACAAACTCTAACAAACATCCATCTAAACTTTCGCATTTATGTTAGTAAGATTAAGTACTAAGGCTTTCGTTCCAGGTAATACTAAGCGCTGGCAGCTTGAGCTCTCCTCACATCCTCTTCCATTCAGGTATAGGACCTCGCGGCATGCTGGAGGGCTACGGTATCCCTGTCATAGCAGACCTGCCTGTAGGTCAGAACTTGAGGAACCACCTCGGAGTGACTTTAGAGTTCTTAATGACCAAATACGACCAGAAACGTTGCTTAGATTGGAGCGCATTACTTCAGTATATGTTGAACAAGGACGGGCCTATGAGTGCAACTGGACTCACTCAGGTATTATTTTGTGGGTTTAAGACACTACTATAAGAAAGTTAATCCCATCCCGTTCATTCCCTTTGTAAGAGAAAGAGACAACAATAATTTTTAATACAAGTACGAGTACACTACGAAAGTCTTCTTTTTAACGGTTTGAGCGCTTCCCAGGGCGAATTCTTCGGCGTCCTTTTTTTACAAAGTCTTGTAGACGGGGATGGGGGTAAAAGTTATACGTGAAATAGTGTAATTCGTAACTTTCGCGTCCCTTTTCCAGTGCCCTTTGCGGTCACCCAACCTCGCCCTAATTTAAATATTGTACAATGGTTGTAGTTATCAGGACTGCTGTACTCAAGCTTAGCGGATAGAAGCCTCAAGCAACCAGACCTGCAGTTTTTCTTCAACGGTTTCTATGCAGAATGCTCACAGACCGGAAAAGTTGGAGAACCGGAGAATGTTACGCAGAAAGGAGTTAATATCAGGTAAGAAGTAGAAGTAGAAAAGGCATGCTGATGTTAAAAGGATGAATTACAGAAGATTAACTTAGGTTACAATGAGAAAGTGTCCATGTTGGTCGGAGCCTTCCCAGACTGAGTTATTCCAGATAGATTTTATACTAAAGAAGGGCGGTATTAGGAGCACCTAACACCGATGCATGTATGCGTTTATATATAAATAAAGAAGAAACAGGAATTTAGTTAGAATGCAGACGAATGGAGGTCTGTTGCCTACCCCTCTGACGGTCGATTCTTAATCTACCCTTATTTTTCCAGTATAAATGCGGTGTCGCTACTGCCGCGCAGTGTAGGCTACATGGTGCTGACCTCTAGCGACCCTAAGGTCCGCCCTGTGTTCTACCCTCAGTACTTCTCCCACCCAGATGATATGCTGATGGTCAAAGATGCAGCGAAGCTTGTACACAAGATAGTTAAGAGCCATGTAAGTATTATTTACGACTAAAACTGTTTTAAGATATTTGCAAACCTTTCTTTTTAATCTTCATGTTCCAATTTCAAATTTAGTATCATTTACGATTTTGATTAAAAAAAAGTGCAATTAACTATAACCTTGTTGTTGGCTTTTATTAAATCGTAATTTTTAAATGTAGAAACCTTCTAAAAAATTATCAATTAAAAGCCCCCCTCCTCTTCAAAATACCAATTTATATGCTGTACTAGCTTTCGCCTGCAATTCCGTCCGTGTGGTATTGAACAAACAAAGTAAATAGTCTATGTGTTCTTCCAGACTACCCTCTAAATCTATGCCAAATTTCATCGAGATCCAGTCAGCCGTTTAGGCAACAAACTATAACAAACATCCATCCATATAAACTGTCGCATAATATTAGTATAATTATAACCTCAAAGTCCTTGTGGACTTATACCATTTTTATGCTGTATAATTAAAATTTCTTCAGACACTACGTCATAAATACGGTATAAAGTTGCACCCGGGCTTCGCGAGGGAGTGCGCCGCGGCGGAGTGGTCCGAGGAGTGGCTGGAGTGTGCGGCGCGCCTCGCCACCGACCCGCAGAACCATCAGGTCGGCACCGCCGCTATGGGCCTCGTGCTAGACCACACTCTAGCCGTTTACAATATACAAGGTAAGCTCCGCTACCTTTAATGCTACCGCTTTAGTGAATTTGACGATAGTTTCATTGTTTTTTACCCGAGCGAGTAATTTATTGTGCATTTTTTCTATACTATAAGGTGGCAAACGAGCAAGCGGCCACCTGAATCCACCGAAATGGAAAGCGACCGCTGCCCATAAACATCCGCAATTGCCGCGTTGCCTACCCTTAATTGACTGAGGAGGAGACGCACATAAAGAGGAGAGAGAGAGCGAGAGAGAGAGAGAGTGGGGGGGGGAGAGAGAAAGAGAGGAGATAGTTTTTTCCCTATTTTTATGTGTGCGTTTGTTACGACCTACAGTTTAAACTATTTAATAGATTTTGACGAATGAGGTGTCATTAGATTTATTGTCTTCCCCGAAATGTCATAGGGTATATTACATCGTCTTACACCTATAGTGGAAGTGAGAACTGAAATTCTAAAAAATAAGTGAAAACACTGATTTCGAATATCGCTTTCCAAAACTTTTTGCTCTTTTCTTAAATTTTCTTCATTTTGTAGTATATTCATGTATTCGATTTAGTCAGTCGAGTTTTTTAATGAAGATCATTTTGGTTTTTAGAGGTTTTTAGAAGTTTTTAGAAGAAGAATATCTGTAGAAAAAGGTTAGTCCTTTTTCCCTTTAAAAGATAACAAAGTCGTGTTTAACTAGCTTTTTTCAATAATTGTATTAGTGGTAACCTTTGATTAATGTTGCGGAAGCTTTCGTTTATTGAGATTTACCTAATAAAAAAGTTAATTTAATACGTATTTCCTAGGTCTACGTGTGATCGACGCGTCAGCAATACCAACACAACCGACAGGTAACCCTCAAGGCGCCATCATGATGGTCGCAGAACGCGGCGTCGACTTCATCAAGAAATATTGGGCCTCGTATTTATAACATTGAATCTTAAATATACTTGACATAAAGTCTAAATTGCAATGTAGTAGTCAGTAATTATCGTGCAAAATTGTTTAACGGTATTTTTATATATTCTGTGTAAAATAATGTGTATTCGGTAATTCAACGAGAATGAGGGAGGTGTGTTGTTTAGTGACTGACTTCTCCCCAAGTCACAATTTAAAATCTAATTGTTTTGATTTTGGCCTAGTTGTGTTGTGTCTCAAGATGTGCAAATCAATATTATAATTTAATTTATTGCATTTCTGACGCCTTATTTATTACACTTTTTGCATTAATAATATAGTAATGTTCGTGTTACCTTATCATAGGGACGCAAAATCTATTTGTAAATAATACTTAAAATAAAACTGTCACATTTAAAAGGAGTAAATTAAGACAAATTAGATAAATCAAGTTATTTTAATATCATTACAATCTTACTAATATTAGAAATGCTAAAGTTTAGATGTATGTTAGAGTTTGTATATGAAACGGCTGAACGGATCTGGATATTTGGCATAAATGTAGAGCGTAGTCTGTGGAAGCACGCATAGGCTTTACTTTCGTTTTTGTCTAACACCAGACGCACGGAGTCGAAATTAGTTTTACATAAAGTGTATACATGAATTTGTAAGTGTATACGAAAGGGTTATTTCTAGATGGATAGATTGCGTGAGAACTAATTTATCAAGAAGTGAGGGCAGATAGATCGGTTTGGCGAACGACATCCGACACGCTCACTCTACCTGAGTGGGATAAGGACAGAGAGATGATGGCTTTAAATGATAAATGTGTAACTTCATAGAGTTGTTAGTCCCTCTGCTAAACTTTTATATCAAAATATGATATCAATTTTCCATAGATAATGCAAGATGATTTTTATTTGAATTTAAATGTATTCTTGAAATAAAATGATTTAGTTCCTGTATATGTTTTTCACTTAATTTTCACAACCATTTCTAAACAATAAAACGAGGCCAAAACACACACAAAAAGTGGCTGCTATTTGTTCCATGATTCATGTATGGTACAGAATTCATTTACCTTCAGATGAGTCAGTCTTAAAATATTTTAAACATTTTTCCTCGAAGTAACAATGACATCGCCGAGAACAAAATTATGAACGTATTTGATTTAGAAACGTGTCGTTATTTATAACCGTATTCAAAAATTAAATTCTGTCTATATGTATATTACCCACCCCCCTAGTGTGAAATTATTATAAAATAGTTATGTAAACACCCTTGAAATAAAGTTTATAACCTTTCTTTCTAAAAATTTCTCGTCAGTTTTAATATTCATTAGTTATCTTTGGAGTAAAATATAGATTTTTACTATGTACCTTAGACCTTAGCCTGATTGATGTCCCCTACATCCAGTCTAAATCATCTTGTTTGTGCTTTGGTTGTTTAGCGTTATTTCTGGAACACAATGTGATGTAAAAGGTTTTTAATAGCCTATTAACGACAAACTATTTTAATAAGCTAATTAACCTTATAAACAAGGTATAAATGTCGTATAAAGTTTAAATTCTTGAAAAGGGGAGTAAAATAAAACTTCACATTATTGATAAAATTTATAAGTACGTAATATTTTAATAAATACACGATTACATATGTTGCACACAATTAGTAGGTTAAAGTGCATATACATTTCATAATTTAAAAAAAAAAACAAGAAATACATATTCGAAAACACAAACCAGCAAACATTTTCTACAAACCAATTAAGGAATGACAATAATACTTAGTTATCTAATCAATAAAACAAAATGCTTTTACAACGAAATTACAAAATGGAAATGTTTTTGAAAAAAAAATGCCATCAATTTGAAATGCAAAAATTCTTAGAAACTACAGTTTGTAGCACCGCGCTATCTCGAGATTATATGCATGTCTCATTGTTAAAAACTTATTTCTAAACTTATATCAAATGTCAGTTTGACAGCAGACATTTTAGAAATGTCAAAATGACTGATTAATCCATAGAAAATAAAATCCACATATTTATCCTCAATATCATAATGGAACTGTTGACAAATCATTATTTTATTAGATGGATTTAAAACAAGAATACATTGTGTTCTACCTTTATTTAAAAAATTTAACAAATTATATCCAATATTACTGATCCCATTTTTTTTCAATGGCAGCAATCAAACGGCCAGTTCAATTCGCCGAAAAATCGAAGCAACCACTTCTTCAAAAAAATGTTTTTGACTACAAAAATACATGAACTGTAATATTGCCAGTTACAAAAACTCATCCATAGACAATTGACTTAGTAAATAAAGATAAAATTGGGTAGTATATGGGTTATATTTAGTTCCACGCTTACTGTTCATCCTTATCCTTAGCGCCGTGCTTCAGGATACGTGTGAACTCTACATAATCGAACAAACCATCGCGGATTGGAGCCTCCCGGAGCATTTCATCAACATCATCATCAGTGAACCTATCACCCATTGTAGTCAGCAGCTCACGGAGCCTTTCCTCCGCCATCACCCCTTTGTTCTCTTCATCAAAACATCTGTTGACAAAACATTGAGTGAATCATGACATCAAAACACATATCACAGCTCACTATACATCCCTATGAGGTGCTCGGAGCCTACCCTCAAGTTAGGGTGACCATAGTCAACCATGCTGGCCAATTGTTTGTTGGTTGACTACACACGTCATTTGCACTAATTACTTGTAGGAAGAGGCGGAATTTGTCTGTAGTGTTTCCTGAAGGGGAACACCACAGATTTTCATGATTGTACATAACCATCCTGTGCAGTTATGAAGACTGAAGGCCCTGCTATTAAACACTTCATATTAATTACTGAGATGGAATTCAAGTTAGGTCACCTTTTGCTAATATTGCTTGCCACTCACCCAAATGCATTCTTAATGACATCTTCTGGATCAGTCCCTTGGAGACGTTCACCAAACAATGTAAGGAACATGGTGAAGTTAATAGGCCCTGGAGCTTCATTCATCATATTCTCTAGGTAGTCCTCAGTTGGATTTTTGCCTACAAAATACAAAACATTTAAATAAAAACTTATTTGGTCCTATAATGGGTAAACAGAATTTATAGTCATATTGCACATAATAAGCATGTGTAATTTACATTAAATGTATGTAAACTAAGAGAATATATAGGACTTTCATTTCAGACATATTATTTACTGATATTTTAGAAGTTGCATTCTAACAGAACATTAAAATAACAAAAGAACAGAATAAAGCTTGATAACTAAATTTGACATTACAAATTGTACTTATATCTCAGAGGGGGCAGGTAGACATTACAAATTTCCATTTAGCATTATAGTGACACATCTCTCTCACTCATTTACATTCATATGTAACATGTATGGCACAAAGTATGCCAATGTAAGTACTTAATACCAAATTTTAAATATGTTTAAGGAAACATACCGAGTGATGCCAGCATATCATGCAGGTCATCTTTATCAACAAAACCATCGCGGTTTTGATCAATCATGTTGAAAGCCTCTTTGAATTCTGCGATCTGTGCCTGATCAAACATAGCAAAGACATTGGATGTGGCACGCTGGGCGCGCTTCTTGTTGGTGCCACGGCGGCCTGCGGTCTTCCTGGACGACATTGTCTACAAGAAAAAAAAATACTAAAAAATTTAGAAATTCACATTTTATAAGGCGTAAAGTACCGTAATGTAATAATATAAGAATATAAAGAAAGTCTGATTGTCGTTTAATGCTTTATACAATTAAGATAATTAAAAAACCAATAAGTCTTACATTGTATGTTGAATACGGCGATAAGGGATTTTAGTAGAAATTTATCCAGCCAAATTACACGAGCGGCGAGTTTATAACTACAAGTTTCAAACAACGTATCTAAGTTAAAAATAAATTGTATCAAGTATGCACGACAATCGCTTGCTACCCGTCACTCTGCACGTTAACGTTCATTAACCAAAGGCTGACTCATGCCATCACATTATCAGAAAATTTTCAACGAATTACGTTAGGCGACGAAACTCGAACTTTAAAATATGTAGGACACAATGTCACAATCTCAAATACCCAAGAATACCTTTTATGGTAGTGCATTTTAAATCGCCCTGTTTTCTCAAGGATGCTCTTTTATAAAGCCATCTGTTTGCCTTTTTTAAAGTACAAAACATATAATATCAAAAATTATACTTACAAAGATATTTTAATGTTTTATTCTCGGTGACAATGTAATAAACCAAGTAAAAATATTATTTTACGTTTTCGTAAAGAATGACTAACTTTTTCAAAATATATATCGTATTCACAGATAAACATATCAATGTATCACGTTGAACAGATTATATATAATTCCATAAAGAGTTTGTCTATAGCTCCCAAGACCAAAAAAATCATTTCAAACGGGTTAAAAATCCATGACATTTTTATTTATGAATATTTTCATATTTAGCTTTTAAAATGTTCATAAAAGTGTTGATGGAAAATTACACAAAATTGAGTTCGTTGCATAACTTTTTATTACATTCCTGTCAATGTCACCTGTAATTTCAAGGTTTTTATTCAAAACAAAATGAAAAAATTACAGGTTTAATTTCGCCTCCGTTATCCTTGATAACAGTTAAGCACCCTTAAAGGGTGTAGTTCAATAGATTTAATTAACATCGTATTTGAGTACAAGTAAGTTGATCAAGTTAGTTAAATAATAACCAAAACATGAACTTTTAATACATATTGCGTATTACTTATAACTTCTGTATATCTATTTAAATAGATGTTGAGACAAATGCAGCAGAAGATAATTTTAAGCATTATTCGTAATATATCATCAAGTCCTAGGCTATGCGCTAGCCATTACGATGTCCTCGGTGTTACGCCAAGAGCCACACAAAGTGATATTAAATCAGCTTATTACAGACTATCCAAGTTATATCATCCCGATATATCAAGTGTGAGTATTACTGATATTATAAAGAGGTATAATTTGTATTCATTGAAATAACTCTAAAACTACTGGGCTGATTAAAACAATTCTTTTATTATTAGAAACCTACATTATCTCTGAGTAACATAGGCTATATGAATTTTTTTTTTTATTTCCTTGTAGACAAAATCCCTTGCAAAAGCTAGTACAATATGAATTCATTTAATATTTGCTATGTAAATTATGTTTGACATTGAAGAATTATCTATATTTACTGATTATTATCAGTTTAAATCAGTCTGAAATAAGTCTAAATCAGCCTAGTCTGAAACAGATTTAAATCAGAAATTGTACTGCTGAGAATTGTCATTTTTCTATCATTTTTTCTATTTCTTCAACACTCTTATATTTTTATGTTGTGGGATAACAGAAAAACAAATTCATTATAATTATTGCATACTACCTTTCACACGTGACTTCATATGTGTGGTAAAAAAAACTAAAGCAAGCTATGGATGTTTCCAGACTATATCTTATCCACATTTTGTTGAGGTCCATTCAGCAGTTTAGGCTACAAACTCTAAGAAACATTCATCTAAACTTTATTATTATATTAGTAACATCTTAACACTGAAAAATATGATCATGTTTATTATATTTAAATATTGATAAAGAGTCATTACATGATGGCTTCACCTTGATTTGAATTAAATTACCCTTTCATATTGATGACAAAAAGCAATAATAGGTTCCTATTATTTCAGGATGAAACATCTGCAAAGAAATTTAGATCTATAACAGAGGCATATGAAGTGTTAGGAAATATTAAATTAAAAAAAATGTATGACAAAGGTAAAAAAATTGCTTTCAATTTTGTATTACTGGTACATTTATGATACTATGTAGACTGAAAAGTGTATGGGAAGAATGTATGAAAAGGGAGTGCTCATGGTAATTGTTTTTAACAGTGGTAGAGCCCGCTTTAACATCTTTGCACGAATGGGCCGGCTCGCCCCCAGTAATACCACTACCACACAGAAAACAGGCATGAAGTGAAAGCAATTTCGCGTATCGTCTGATGCGTGTAGTGCCAGAGGCCTAATGTTAGTCACTTTTCCTTTCCATCCTTACCTCTTAAGAAAAGGATGAGAAGGAAAAGTGGATTTGACAGTGAAGGAGACGCATAGGAAGGAGAAATGTCCTCTTCATGTGCTTCTTCTCTGTCAATTAAGGGTAGACAACGCATATTCAATTGCGGATGTTTATGGGCAGCGGTCGCTTTACATTTCGGTGGATCTAGGTGGCCACTTGCTCAATTGCCACCATAGTATAAAAAAAAAATTGGGATTTAAAGAAGTATTTCCCTACTTAGGGATGATAATATTGTATTGTAGGTTTGCTAACTGGCAGAGAGAACACCAGTCGTATGGACTATACTCCGGACCCTGAACCAGACGATCCAACGCTTAAGTTCTACAGATCTCATTCTAAACGACAAGTGACACCATCTATGGACGGTAGAATGCCAATTTATGACTTTGATGCTTGGTATGTAAAATAATGTTGCCATATCATAGATAATTTATTAAGTTTTTTTTTGATAATTAAATGTAAATTAATTTATATTTTGTATATGCATTATTATAATATTAAAAGGTTAAAAGACCGCCTACAGAGTCAAAACAATTACATAATTATTTAAGTGATTTAAATTTGTTATTTCCAGGTCAAAACAGCACTATGGTGATTTATTACAAAAGTCCGTCTACGAAAAAGAATTTCTTAGGAAAAAAGCAACAAAAGCTAGAGAATTGCAGCATGGGCAGCATCAAGAAACTTTATTTTACACTATATTCGGCATTGCTTGTCTATTCCTATTTCTTGTCGTCTATGGTCAGGATGATTATGACAAAGATCGTGTTGTTAAAAACACAAAAGACATAGACAAATAAAAATCAATTCACCAAACTTAGAACAATTGTTATTAGTTATTTTTTAATATCGTTAGTTCCAGTTGATTTTGCTCTGAGCGAATAAATATAACTTAGAATTTATGTATATATTGTACATATCTAGGTATCTCATAGCAATTTTAAATTATTAAAGCGTTGTTATATAAATAAGAAAATCGTTTTATTACCTGTCAAACTTAACAAGTTTTTGCACTACCAATAAGCAATAGGGAATATGCATGTATTTTTTTCTTTTTTTTTAAGGTTCTACTTGTTATAACCAGAGAAAAAAATTGACGCAAAAATATTCAACCATTGAGCTAAAAATAATAAAATAAAATTACGACCATTTTCGAGCGACTAAAACGCGACCGAGGTTGAAATGAGACAGTTGACGTCAAACGTCTTATTCCATTCATAACATACGCTCAGATGTCACTTCGATGTAAAAAAACAACAAAGTATCTCAAGGTCAAAAAGTCAAAAATCGATTAATTTTTATTAATTCTGATACAAATAAGTGGTAATTAATATTTCTATTCATTATTTTTTTAAAATACTTCTAGAATGTATTTCTATATAAACTAACGTAAATCCAATACTACATACTTATTTTATACATAAAATATAATTAGGATAGTCTATATTAATAATAACAATATTAATTAAAAAAAGTTAATAAAAATAACACAAATTGGGCATAACTAAAATGAAACATACTACAATTTTATAATTATATTTTAAATCAATAATACATTTACTGATATCAGACAATAGGTGACTTTAAAACCAACATGTTTTAACCGCATAGTATATGCATATGTCTAATTCCCTTCTTATTGTCGTCTACTTTGTAATACTAACAAATATAAAATTCGTTGTTTATAGCTGATAATCCGTTAGTATAGATATCACATTAAAATCTAATCTAAGGTATCCCTTAGTGATTATTTGACAATTTTAGTGTTAGGGGTGAATGTGCCTAAAATTGTGTGTTGTGCTAAAGATCTGAAGTGCTTGGGAGCGATTTTGTGAAAATTTAACTTTTAAAATGTGTGAATAGTAAAATTTTATTACAGATTTTGTATATTAATAAACGAGAGTTTACATACTGTATGCCTTATAATAGCAAGCGACCGATACCCATAGACATCAGCATTTGCAGGCGTCGCCTTTATTTAATCAGCAGAGGAGAGACAAAGAGGATATTTTCACTATCTGTAAGTCTCATACCCCGTCTGTCACTGCTCCCTTCCCGTCTTTTCCATGTATGGAAAGGGAAAGAGAAGTGAACAAGGCCGTCGGCACGTGTATTCAGTACAGTATTCTTCTCCGCATTCCAATACGCCCTTTACACCTAAAACTGTGTTCTACAAAGTTCCGAACCGCCAAAATATTTGAATACGAAGTGATTTAGAGCACACACCTTTGACTAAACTATCGCACAACTGTTTGCGATTATCGATTGCTTTTTAGTTGCACAACTAAAGCCTAGTAGTGTGCGCACCTCCATAGGCTTATAGGAATCAAAACGAAACTAAACAGTTAACAGATAGCTTAGTTTCAGATGTGCGCAGCTCTTATTCTCTAATATTTTATACAAAAAGTATAGCATAAAATAATATAGCAAATCGACTCTAAAGAAGACAGTAAAATTCTATACATCCATATTGATGTAGACGGTGTTAAAACATTCTCGATGCCAAAAAAAATGAAAACATTATTTTTTTTTAATCTATATTACATGTCTACTTTATACAGTCAGAATCTCATTCCATCTACGTAAGCACCACATTAAGCGGACAGTTGTTTTTTACAAATAAAGTTACAATATTTATGATAACAATTGACGTTATTAAAATATTGATAAAAATACATGGAACTTGAAAACAAGGAAAATAACAAAATTATTCAAGAGCTAAAGTAATCATACTCAAGGCTGTTATGAAATAATCAATCTAATTTATAATGCCAGGTTCACACTTGGACTTGGACAGTTGTCATTGTCATTGGCGCCATTCACTGTGCCAGTTATTGAACGCTATTTAACAACTGTACTGGCCAAATGTAAACCGGGCATAAAGACAAGCAGAGAAATCCCGACTCATTCTGAAAGATGAAAGAAAACTCTAAAAAACAAATGAATTTAGTTAGACTGTTACTGTTAGCAGTTATTTTTTGGTAAAAAAAAGTTAGAGTTTATGCCTTTTACTTAGTACATTCTGATTTAACCTCAAACAAAATAATTTAACATTCTCCATTGACATAATCAGTTTAGACCTTATAAGCAGAATGGGGCATATAATATTGAATTTATATTTAAAAAAACAATATTTAGACACTATTTTATATTTCTTACATAATATTTATTTTTTAATAAAAATAACGATTGTATAGTTATGCAAATCAGGTGTCAACAGTAATCAAGGGTGGCAACTGTCCCCCCTCAATAGCCCTCTGACACCCATAATATATGTGATGGAAATACCAGTGACGTCATTAATAAGCTAACTGAGCTGAGCCTCTAATAGCCAATTGTGGGACAGGGCCTAACTCTCATGTATGCCTTTTTTTGGTGTTGGGGGAAAATTTTCAAGATACCTTGCCTTCTAGCGGAAGGCAGAGTTATGTAGGATTGAACCCACTAAAACCCCCTCCATGGCCATCTTCTAGTAACATAGATGAAGGTTCCGTGATCTCCAAGGAACACACCGGAACCAATTCTCATGCCATGCCCTAAATTAGAGATTTCCATCACAATCATTACAAATATTTCCTTGCATTCTGATATTTAAAATAATCACTATCAAGCAACAGCTTGAAAGTCCTCCTTATTATGTTTTATTATTAATTCTACATAGATAAACGACGACCCCACATATATGGCCAGAGATAATTAAGATAATAAAAAAAATTATAGTCTTGGATATGGCCAGAGATAATTCAAATATTAAAAAAAAATGCTATAGTCTTTTGTGATTACAAATTTCATGTGCAACAAAGTTCTTTTCCACTTTTTAAAATCAATTGGTTACAAAAATCGTTTTCATGTATTTTACAACTCATTGCTTGATTTGATATAGCCATAACTTTGACCTTGAAATAATAACTTAATTTGAGAGATAATAACACAAATTGACGTCCTTAAAATTGCTATTAAAACCTTATACTATTTCATTAAAAACTAAATACATATTTATATTATAAATGATAAAAGAATTACAAATTTTCAATTACACAACTTGTACTGACTTAAGAGAAGGAAATACAAAAAAACATAAGACTCATTTGAAATTAATTTTCACTCATTGTCAAATGCAATAAATTAAAAAAAGAATCACGATCCACATGACAAACATATTTACGTAATTAAAAGTGGTTACCGTACATTCCAGGCATAGGCATATTTAATGGCCCCATAGGGTACGGGACACTTGGCACATTCTGTGTATAACTTGGGTACGGTAAGAAAGGTTTGGCTAGCCCATTGCCATAAGAACTATGACTCCCAGACCGTAGTAGTTCATTCATTTTATCCGATTTGAATTTTTGTAAATGCATCTTCTTCCGTATCGGTTCGAAGTCTTCTAGAAACTTGTCCACATCTAATTTCCCTGATAGGAAGTCTTGTGCGACATTCTCTGATTGTTCTTCTGACTCAGCTGCGGCTGTTTGTAGTAGGGCTAATGTTGTGTCCGGAGATATGCCAGCTGATTTGTTCTCTAAAAGGTTTTTATTTAAATTAGCTGTTGTATTTTATTGTTTATAATACAATTCAAAGGCTCAAATGACAATGAAGGTCCTTGATATTGGCTGAGAGTTAACCATGGCAACCTTGCTTGACTGCTGCTATTGGTTTGTAGTTTTTGTCCCTTTCTCAGTATAGTTTTATCCTATTTACTCACGCTAAGTTAAATTGTGTTGAAATATATAGCCTACAGTGTGTTGTAATTGTAAGGCTTTTAAATTCAAAAATTCATTACATATGAAAAGACAATTCTTTCCTCTTTATCATATTAGTATAGATTACATAGAGGTCAATTGCTTGTAATATGTATGTGTCTTTAAAAAAAAAACATACAGACAGAATTACCTCCTACTTTTGGGAAGTCGGTCAAAAAGAGTGCTAAGTTGTCAAATACACTAAAACACAACTCTCTAAATAAGCTTTCTTTAGTATAAATAAAATAAAAATTATTTAAACTCACTATATTCATCTAAAAGTCCATGTATATGATTACATAACTGTTCACCGAGTTCCGATTTTTGTTGTACTTGACTTTTCAACTCCTCCAATTCCGGTTCTTGACGCAGATTGAACTCCGCCAAGGATCTGTTGCTGGCTATCATCATCTCCTTTTCTGTCTCCCAATCTTTTACCTACAAACAGAAAAATGCTTAACAAAGGCTCTTTAAAAAGATATTTAAACTCCTCAAAGACATTACATGAGCGTCGGTGGCTCAGTGGTTTAAACACTTGACTTGTAATCTTTTGGGTTCGAATTCTGCCATGTACCAATGTGATTTTCATACGTACATAAATTACCCGACGTTCTTACGGTGAAGGAAAACATCGTGATGCAACCTGCACATATCGGCGATGAAATTCAAAGATATGTGTGAAGTCAACCAACCCGCACTAGGCCAGCGTGGTTGACTAAGGCCTAGTCACCCTAAGTTTAGGATAGGCTCCGAGCCCCTCGGTGGGGACGTATAGTGAGCTGGTGATGATGAAAGACATTACAGTTAACAATTAAATTTTATTAATGTATAACTGTTAAATTATTATAGACTTTACCTGGCAAGTTTGTCTCTGCAATACTATCCAAATTTTTCATAAATATTACTAGAAATATAATTTATTAAAAATTTACAACTGGCCTCTATTTTTTTTCATTTAAGTTTTATCTATAATCTATATTAACATAATTTACTCTGTATTCAGAACAATGGGAACAGAACAACAAACAATGCTATTGAAAACAAAGATGTGATGACATTATTGTAAACATCCTTTGTTTGTCTTAAAAAGTTTTATTATTAAACAATCTGCGGATATTATAATTATTTTTTTGATTACTAAATAAGTTTCTTAATTAAGGTTTTTGATACAAAAGACACAGTGAAATGTGTTGTTACTTTATTAATAATTGATAAAATTTCATGTAACCTACTGTCTATGAAGTATAATAGTATTATAATTGTTTTATTTGATTTTTGTATACAAAAAAAATAGTACAATCTTTAGATGAGTTTCAAGTTTCATAATTTTTTAAAAACATCACAGCTTAAGTGCAATAGATATGACTTTGTGTCAGTCTGTATTAAAAAATGATGTTTAAAAATACGCATTAGCAAAGATATCCTAAATTACCTGTTTTACATCTTTTAATACTGCATCAAATTTTGTATCATCGTTGAGTATTTCCTTCAGTTCGTCAGAATTCAAATGATCAAGAAAACCTATAGCTGGGGAGAAGTCCGGTTGAATCATCTTGGTAACAAGAATTCTTATTCGACACAGCACAATCAAACTCTGTTTCCCAAAATACGGCAAGTACACATATAACCTCGCGCAAACAAATTCTTCGTATCTAGCGATTAATTTGTAAAGAAGTTAGCTACAATTTAATGAAAATTAGTACAATATACAATTACATTACATTGTTTAATTGACATGACATTATTTCCAATCCCAAAGTCAAAATGTCTAATAAACTTCAAGTTACCGTCAAAAACAAGCGGACTTTTTATTCCAAAGACTAAATTGAGGTACGCGAAACATGCAGAATTGTTGTTTTTTCCAAAATGAATTCTTATTATAAGAAAATGTTGCTTATGCATGGACAAATTCAAAATCGAAATTATTATCCTAGGAGCGAAATTGCAATTATAAAATATTAGAAATGTGTTTGAATTTGAACGGTGTTGCACTGAAAATGTTTTTAAAACGACTTGTGTTAATGTCACTTAATGTCAATACAATTATGGTGTCTTGTCAATAAACCTTAGTACAATTAGTATAATGTAACAAATGTATTAAATTCATACAATAAAACAATAAGGTTAATACGGAACCGATGAAGAGCAATATTCTTTACTTAAGCCCACAAAGATATATCTACATTCTAGTCAGAAATGTCATTTATTGACTCGTCCTTTAACGTAGAAGTCGTTTACAATTTTTATCTTAAATTTATTGCTGAAACTTTGCTATATTTGAGAAATTTTATTTTATATATAAGCTTATGGGTCGCGGGTTATCTCTGTGTTTGTTGTGTTGTGTACCGACGATATGCGAGAAAGTTACCAACGCGTATTCGTGGAGCACTTGGTGCCAAACGGGTTCTTCTAGTAATAGCGCACCCGGATGACGAATGTATGTTTTTCGGGCCAACAATATTCAGATTATGCGAACAAGGTGCTGAAGTGTACATATTATGTCTATCAAATGGTTAGTAAAATTGTTGTTTACCTTGGCTTTCATTTGTCACTCAAGCATAGCAATATTCTGTATAACCTCCTAATTAATGATTGACAACTTACTGATCCTTAATTCATACTTACATTCTTAACTATTGTATTATAGTCAATTAGATATTAAATAAAATAATTTAAAAGCCATCAGATATCATTTTTGTTTTCATTTATTATTTTTAGGCAATTATGAGGGAAAAGGAAATATTAGACAAGAAGAATTATGGAAGGCCTGCAAAGTCCTTGGAGTTCCGGAAGGAAATATTTATCTTATAGACGATACAAGAATGAAAGATGACCCTAAAGTACAGTGGCCAGTGCAGGTCATAGCTAAACTAATACACCATCATATTGAGGCATTGGAAGTTGATACACTGGTCACATTTGATAGAGGTGGTGTTTCCTCACATCCGAATCATTCTGCAGTATTTTATGCTGTTGCATATATGTTTGTTGAAAAGAATATGCCTAAGAGTAAGTACATCATCAGCCTTCATCTGCTGTGTTGGATGTAGGTCTTCCCCAATACCTTCTATATATTACATGTACTTAAATTACTTGTAAACAGGTCTAGTAATACATTGCCAGTATACTGCAAGTTAAATTGATTTAACACATATATGGTCAACAACCGGCCTGCGAAACATTATGAAAAATCCCATTTAAAAAATAATACATTAGGTTCTTACACTCAAGGAGTGACAGTGAGGCGGAAAACATCGAATCTTTGGATGATGCGGCCCGCAAAGGTATTTGCACGCTAAAGTATGGCCCTCAACATGTCAAAGGTTGTCCATACCTGATTTAACAGAATACTATTGAATAGAGAAGTTTCCTTTAGTTATAATTATAGTAGCATAGAATGTAAAATTACTTATAAATATTTTTAATGTCATTTCAGGGTGCACAGTCTACACAATGGATTCTGTTAATATTTTAAGAAAGTACATGGGTTTTTTAGATTTACCACTAAGTTTTGTGCTATCATCAAAAAGGTTGGTATCACATTCATTATTATTTTAATAGTTATCACAATTTAATGATGTATAAGTGATCAAGCAACATCTTGTTTGTTTCTTTTCTTATATCATAAAATAGCAAGTATCTGAATTCACTGAAATAGCAAAATTATAGCTGCCCACTTAGACAGATATCTAACTTTAATTGACAGAGGAGATACACTGAATATTTCCCCTTTCTATGCATCCCCTGCTCCATTAAATCCACTTCTTACCATTCCCTTATAATCCTCCACTCATCTGACAAAATATGGAATTGCTCTTATTTTAAAACTGTCTTCTGAGCATATGACATGCATCGGGCAACAAAGGTTGCATCTACAAGTGATTTTTATGCATTATTTGGTTACATTTTAAGCATGTTATATTTAAAAACACAGCTTAACTCATGTGACAGTTTGGTATAGTTATATCGTGTTTTATCCACATACTAAATTTATAAAGAGGAAAGATTTGTATTTTTGTATGTCTGTTTGATTTGTTTTCAATTCATGTAAAAACTACTGTGCTAATTTTAGTAATTATTTCAACAATGTTACATTGGCTATTTATTGTTTTTTAAGCGAACGAAGTCGTAAATATAATATAATGTCTCACGATAGTTTTAATAATTTAATTATTGCATGATTTTTTTCAGATATTTCCTCCGTTGGACGGAAAGTCGTCGTGTAACGCGTGCGATGAAGCAGCACAGGTCACAAATGGTGTGGTTCCGGTATTTGTATGTTATTTTCTCTAGATATATGGTTATTAATACATTAAGGAAGATAAATTTAGCTGATATTGAACTGGAACTTGAAGTTGATGATTGAATTTTACTAAGACTATTTATCTTGCATTAATGATGCTTTGGTACTTCTGATTTATGTACAGTCAGCTGCATAAATATGTACACACTAGTTTATGCGCGACTCCGTCCGCGAGGAATTAAAAAAAAAAACAAAAGAAAGTAACCTATATTTCCTTCCAAACTACCCTCTATATCTATACCAAATTCTACCGAAATCTATACAGGCGTTTAGGCTACAAACTCTAACAAACTTTTCATCCACCCATCAATCAAACTTTCGCTTTTATAATATTATGATACTATGAAGTATGATTTCAAAAATTTATAAATTTGTAGAAATCTTTTTTTTAATCATTATTATAAATTTATTTGACAATATCACAAAATTTAAATTCAGAAACATAGGAATGGATTTGTCCATACATAATTTGTAATTTATTCGTATTCTTATTTATGCAGCTAACTGTACAATAGAGGACATTTATTTCCTATCCATTTTGGTGATGTATTTGGATAATGCAATTAGACGAAAACTTGTCACAGCATACTTTCTGTATTGCTTGTGAAACTGTGCAATATTCGACCCTAAGTGGGAAGTGAATTTAATTCTTGTTCTGTACTTTTAGGTTAGTTATTAACATATCACTGGTAGTCAGCTAGACTTTTCCGACTCGGCGTGATTCTGAAACGAATCTGCGCTGTTTACAATCTGACAGAAGTCAAGATTTTAATATAATTTTGAGTAAGAATGGCCTTGTTATTTAAGACGCTGCTATTAAAATGTCGTTTTAGTATTCAGCCGTTAGTTTCCTTTGTATGTTTTGTAGCAAGATCTCATTTGTAGATAATAAAAATTAAATATTTATTATGTTGATGTTCGGTGTTGCTTGATAGCTTGTTTCCACTGCCGAAAAACCTGTATATTGTAATTGCTTTATCTTTGAAAAGATTTATAAGAAAATATATAAGATAAGAGAGTAAATTATATTATTACATTGGTTCTGAATTTTACTGGTGTCTTGTATTATTTAGATTAAGATTGTAAATGGGAGAAATATTTTTTATTTAATATGTTTGACATCTTTGGAGTAATCCGAGGCTCAAGCAAGAAAGAATTTGACCAGAATTTTGTGTTGTATTTGTCGATGTGAGCAGTTCGGGTGTAAAACTAACTTACGTAAAACTTCATTTAAACGTATTGTGAAATTTGACGACCAATAATACGATTATTTCGAAACCTTTCTCAACGAAAATGTTTAATATCAGCTGCCAGAATTTTCACACATTAAAATATCTGTGAGAGCGTCGGTGGCTCAGTGGTTTAAGTACTTGACTTGTAATCTATAGGTCTTGGGTTTGAATCCCGCCATGTACCAAAGTGTATTTCGATTTTTCGAATTTTGTACATAATTTACCCGACGTTCTTACGATGAAGGAAAACATCGTGATGCCTGCACATATCGGCGAAAAAATTCACAGAAATGTGTGAAGTCAACCAAGCCGCAGTGCAGCGTGGTTGACTATGGCCTAGTCGCCTCTTACTTAGGGTAGGCTCCGAGCCCCTCGGTGGGGACTTATAGTGAGCTGGTGACGATGAAAATATTTGTGGTAGTTTCTTAGTTACTTTGACAATGCAGAAATCTCATACTTATTCGTCAAATACGATACGAATTTCACATCAAAATGTTCCGGCTTGTGCCTCTATAGTTTGCCATGTTATTTGTGATCGTCCTTTTACTTAAGATAATAAAAGTTTTTTTTTATTATAAACTGAGTTTATACTTACCCTGAACTATGTACAGTCAGCTACATAATATGTATAGTCTCAGAAACTTATATAAGCCATTCAAAAATATTAATATAACAGTCTGTTTGCCTTCGTATAAAAATTCATACTATTAACGGATACGTGGATAAATATTTTTGAAATAGAAAGCGTTTACATGTTTCTAAAATTTGGTAAATGTATACATTTATGTAGCTGATAGTACAATCTGAATTTAGTTAACGTTTGGGCAATGTGACGTTTATTTTATGCCACTACGTTTGTTTTAAAGGGTTGGTGACTTTGAACATGTTTGGCCAGGTAGAAAATTCAAAGACAAATTATTCGATTAAATTTATATTTATTTTGTTGGCCTTTAAAATCTCGACGGTACATTTTTACTACAAATGTTAATTTTATATAATACTTTATTTACTTACATATCGATGAGATAAATCGTCGAGAGAAAAATTTTTCATTTAGCTAAACATTTAGAAATTGACAAATTTAGCTTTCTATTGTGTAAATATTTCTATTAACTGTGCTTCTGTTAAAATAGATTTATTTGGAAAATAAATACGGAAGGGGGAAATAGGGTTTCATTTCTATTATCTCTTGTTAGTCAACGGTTTACATATAACAAACCATATCTTTATATAATTAGTAAAGAAAAATTTAATTAATACTTAACAATAAAATACAAAAACAAACCAAAAAAATTCAATAAAAACAGAATAGTTCACAATCTCTGTTAACAGATGGCGTGGTACCGACAGTAGATCACAGTAAAGACATTTGAATGTGAAAATTAAGTTGATTTTATACGTTTAATGTATATGTTATTTAATATATATGTTTTTTATCAATAAATATAATTTTATTGATTTAATAAAATGAAATATATTGGTTGTAATAAGTAAACCGAAGACTAACATAAATAGGAAAAAGGAGTTAGCAAACAGCAAAGTGTGTGCAGTTTGAAAACAAAAAAAATAAAAGTCTGGAAGTGTACTTAATTTTATTTGGTAACCGCAACAAAAAAAAGCTTTAACAATATCAAAGCGGGAAGCTTTCAATCAATTTCAATTATTTATTACTTATTAATAAGCCCAATTCATACTCTTGCACCGTTATAATGAAAATATTTTTAATTGTGTGATTGGACTTTACAAATAGAAAAGCAAGTGTCGCAGCCGTAAGACCATTAAAAGAGCTAAAAACATCGTTACTACGTAGCGACGTAAAATGTAAAGTTTTAAGAAAATTAAGTACTTTACATTTATATAAGAACTTTAGAAAAATATAAAAACAAAAAATAAAAAGCACTATGCAACGCTAAAAGCGGGTCTTGTCTAAACTACGAAAGACTGCCAGGAAAAAAAATCATGCTGTTATTACAACCCGTGCACAATAACATGCGAGCTGGGTCTGGTGACGTCACAGCTTTGGTCTATCGCTGTGAATAGGGCAGTAGGGTGATCGGGTGCATTTGACAAGTGCCGTGTTATTGTGCACGTTGTATTACGCGTGAATCGCTATGAAACCCCATCGACGAATTCTAATAAAAAAAATACTAAATGACTTTTGAATCTGTGAGAATTCAAGTTACCGCCTTAATATGGTTTAATTCATTTAAAGGAACATAAAAAAATACAAACTATAATTTTCTAACAGATGTTTTCACAATTTGTATAAATATATTAGATTCTTATATTATGCACAAATTGCAGCTTCAATATGGAATATTTCATACTAAAAGAGAGCGAATGATTACATCTCTTATTTGGCAAAACGATAATTCAAAATCTACATCAGTATAGTATCTGGAATGTCACACAAATATTAAGAAAAAAAATACTGATTTGTTAAAACAACAAACTTATATAATAAAACATGCAGTTGCAATAATAAAATTCAATTCGCAACAAAAATAGCACATACAAACCGACAACCGATTTTGATAGTTTCACCTTGTAACACCCGTGACATTGACGTTAGTGTTGCCACAAAAAGAATTGCACCGACACTTATGCAATTTAAGCGACATGAACTGCTTTAAATCTATGATAATTTATAATACAACAGCCAAATAATACCCGCCCAAGACAGGTTTATTCACTTAAATAATAACTTTATCTAAACAGCGAAAAATCCGATCTAAAAACGACATAACTCCATCAAAATCGTTGCTAAAGAGTAATATTTTCAAAATTTTAATGGTAATTCTGAAAGGTAACAACACTACCTATAACCACTGACTACAGACGTAAATATTCTCATATGTGAATTATTTTGCTAATCAACCATGCCCGCTTCGACTGAGATCGCATAAATATACAATGTTTTTTTTTTTAAACGCTTCAAACAATAATTTCCATAGACTATGCCTATATAGAATGCGTACAACTTGAGATGAGTTTTACGCAATCTATGATCAAAATAAATATAAAAATTTACTAATAAAGCGCGACGCCACGTTGGATTCTAAAATAGATAGGGTACTAAGATGTTATTAGTTAATGAGCAGGACTTTGTTAAGTCAATATGCAATCACAAGTCGAGGCTCGGGCATTGCGGGAGCGAGACAACAAACAACGCCCACGACACATTCTCAACGACAAACTTCATACAATTTTATTGGTGAAATTTCAATTTATTAGGAGCCAAACCCCTATTGGCGATAATTCTAGACCCCTAGTAGTGTAATAGACGTAGCCAATAGAACCTGTAAGGTAGTTAAGCAAACTTAAAAAATGATCTAGGTACTAACTGAAAAAAAAAAATCCATAAATTTCACTACAATCGATACAAATAAAAATGCAATCTAAAAAAAATCTATTTTGGATGGATGATTTTGTTTAGATGAGCAATAAAGTGTTTTAGATATTTTATATATAAAAAAAATATATAGGGGTAGATAGATGAAGGGAGTGTTGATAGATTTATTTGGAGGACAAAAACCTGGTTCTACAGGAATAGGATACGGAGGAAGATATTGACAAAGTGATACATATATGTAAAAATTAAAAAAAAAAACCTGTTTAAAACCGCGGGTAATTTGCTAGTTACTACTTAGAGGCTCCAAGTGTGTGGCTACGCCGATAGCACATTTGAAGATCGAATTTGGCTAACCCTTAAATGCATGATTTTTTCTAAAATACCCTAAATTGAAACGGGTTGTAAATTAAAAAGATATCAAGAGAAAAAATAAAGAATTTTTTTTTTATTTGGGTGTGGAAAATACTGAAGTATAAATGCATCATGTATTTAAGGGTTCAGGGGTTAGTTAGTTACAATGTACAGTGTCTGTTTATGAGAATGGTGTAGAGGAGGGCGTGTCCCGAGGTCTACTCGTTGTCGGCGCGCATGCCGCGCACCTCGCCCTCGCGGCGGAGCTTCTCCAGCTCCTCCTTGGTGCGGTCCTCGATGGCGCGGATGTCCGCCATCGTCATACCGTACCAGTCGTCCATCGAACAGAACACTTGTCTGTAATATAATACGCTTGTCTAACAAATATTGAAAGAATATATCTTTAATTCTATTAAGTCTATACTATTATAATAAAGCGTAAACCCACACTTCTTTGTTGCCTAAGATGTCAGCAATTACAACATACTTTTGGATAATTATTTTTTTAATAAAAAGCCCTACACTTAGGTTACGCTTTAGGCTATATATTTTCACGCCATTAAACTTAGGGGGTAAACATTTTGGATAAAAACTCTAATGTGAGAAAGAGACCATAAGTTGCTGCATCAAGGAAGCAAGATTGCTAAGGTTTGTCATGTCATGTCATTTTAACATTTGCTATTGATAATTTGACAAATGTAAACAATGAAATAAAATTTTCATAATTTTATGCGGATGAAGCCGCACGGGAACAGCTAGTGTGTTATAAAAAATATGTAACAATTTTAAAAGTAATTTAACCTTACTCTAACACCTGACTGACTAAATCTAATAGTGATCTAATAGTAATGGCGCGAGTGTTTCAAACTCGATTTTTTTTTATTTGAATTCTCACATCCTCTATAGGTATTTTTATCGATATAATATACTCTATGTTGTTCGTCCAAATAAGTTCAGTATTAGGCTGTGGGCCGTTACAGTGAAATTTACAAACATACAAACTCAAATACATAAAAAATATACCCGCGAAAAAAATTACTCTTAACATAACCTTTTGTCAGTCGGGTAAAAAAATATAAGTAAATTGTGTATTGACTATGTTATTCTGCAAAATAAGTCCACGTTTATATATTTCTCATATCATGATATATTACGAACCATATTATTAAAAAAAATTCCAAGAAAATTGTAAAATAAACTGTGTAAACAATTTAACGATCGTAAGACCGCACAATCTATAGATTACGATAAGCACTTTTAATCATTACAATACTTTAATGGCACATGTTATATTTTACGATATAATACCTGCATTTACAGTTACGATTGGATATATATTTTAGTACTATCTGTTCCCGTACGACTTCTCGGCGTAAAATTATGAAAAATTTATTATATTGTTTACATGTGTCAAATTATCAATTGCAAATGTCAAAATGACATGACATGAAAAACCTTAGCAATCTTGCTTCCTTGATGTTGGCAGCAACTTATGGTCTCTTTCCCATATTAGGATTTTTATCCAATTTACTTATCAACTAAGTTTAATGGCGTGAAAAAATATAGCCTATAGCGTGACGTAAGTGTAGGGCTTTTTATTAAAAAAAGAATTATTCAAAAATATGCTGTAATTACTGACATCTTAGGTAACAAAGAAGTGTGTGTTTACGCTTTATTATAATAGTGTAGAGTATAGATAATATTGAAACGAATGTAACAAGTGTTTGCTCTATCAATAAAGACTTAAGTCGGGAGTTTTTCTGACGAATGTGATTTCTCCACAGATATTAAATAATTATTATCTTACCTATGGAAGATGGTGAAAAGCCGTCGCTCCGACTTTTGAATCACATTTTCAACTTTGCTCTGAAATAGAAAAAAAACAAATTCTAAGCTAAAGGATAACCAAAAACATTTAAGAAATAGAAGAGTAAAAAAAGAGTAAAAAAAAAACCGGTAACTTATTTGAAAGGTACTATGTCAGTTGTCAAGTTTAGTGCCATCCTTGAGACATGTTATAAAACATTTTACAAAATTATAACAAGCTCTATTTTTAATTATAAAATAAACTAGAGTTTTACAAAATTAAACATTTAAATTTTATTAAATGACACGTCATCATCACCAGCACACTACTAGTCCCCACCGAGGGGCTCGGAGCCTACCCTAAGTTAGAGTGACTAGGCCATAGTCAACCACGCTGCACCGCGGGTTGGTTTTTTTTTTTACTATTTTCTTTATTTCCTGCTGCTATGTTTTTTGCAGCAACCAACCGCGGGTTGGTTGACTTCACACATATCTTTGAATTTCTTCGCCGATATGTGCAGGCATCACGATGTTTTCCTTCACCGTAAGAACGTCGGGTAAATAATGTACATAAGAAAATTCAAATAATCGAAAATCACATTGGTACATAACGGGATTCAAACCCAAGACGTGTAGATTACTAGAAGTGCTTAAACCACTGAGCCACCGACTCTCTAAAACGTCAAATATTGGTAATTAATTACAATACAATTATTTTTTGATATGTTTTTGAGGACCTATAGATAGTTTTAGTCGATCCTGTAAAAAATGTTTCAAATTTCATCTATGTCTCCTCTAGTTGAAAGTTGAATCTCTCCAACAACATACCTGAAGACCAAACCACTTGAACTCTGCGGTAACAAGCTTGTAGCATGTCATAACTGGTTTGACATCATTCTTCCAGTTAGGCCCAACGAGGGGTCCGCGTCCCGTCTTCGACGACTTGAACTTAGTCGGGTCGGTTTCCGGCTTGTAATCGGCGGACGGCAGAGGGTCGTTTGCGATATCGATATGGACAACTTCGCGGCTCTTTAACTTCTCTGCTGATAGTTCGTGAACCTAAACATAAGATGTGTTATGAAACATGAAAAACAATAGATTTTCCCACAATAGCCTGTTGTCAAGGCCAAAGTTGACAATAGAGATGACTGGTATGACAGAGAACATACATAGTTTGGTTTATAAATAACTAAATGTCGCTAGCGACTTGTTATCTAATATTATAAAGAGGAAAACTTCGTTTGTTTGTTTGTAATGAATTTACTCAAAAACTACTGGACCGAATTCAAAAATTCTTTCACCAAAAAGCTCCGTTGTCAGTTAGTAACATAGGGTATTTTTTATATTACTTTTAATTTCACGCGGACGGAGTCGCGGGTGAAAGCTAGTTCACTAAAAAAAGTAGCTTTTTAATGATAAAAGAATTTTTGAAATCGGTTTAGTTTTTGAGTTATTTCAATACATACCAAAAAAAAAATATTATTTCTCTTTTTAACATTAATATAATAGACTAGTTGTCGCCCGCGACTCTGACCACATGGAATTAAAACAAATGGCATATGAATATGTTCTAAAACTGTACCATATTTCAGCGAGAATTATTGTAACGTTATTGAGATAAGTAGTAAAAAAATCCATTTATATATCTTTTGCATTTATACTATTAGTAACTGGTTATATCTTTTAATAAATCATGTATCATAATTTCAGTTCATACAAAATTATGTATTGACATAAGACCTGTCGTATTGTATGGATCTGAATGCTGGGCCACCAAAGTTGCGGATGAAAGGAGATTGCTTGTGGCTGAGATGCGTATGTTAAGATGGATGTGTGGTGTGACAAGATTGGATAAAGTTAAGAATGTGTACATTAGAGGAAGTTTGAAAGTAGCGCCAGTGGTGGAGAAATTGAGAAGCAAAAGGTTAGCGTGGTATGGACATGTTATGCGACGAAATGATGGGGACATAAACCAGAAAGTGTTGAGATTGAATGTAGATGGCTACAAAGGAAGAGGAAGACCGAAGAAAGTATGGATGGATTGTGTGAAAGAGGATATGCTTAAGAAAGGAGTGAATTCAGATATGACGGCTGATAGAGATGTATGGAAGAGCAGCACATACTGTGCCGACTCTCCATAAGGGATGAGGGCAAGTGGATGACAAAATAATGTATTGAAAGTTAATAAAAGCAAATTACCACCAATAATGTTTGGGCTGGATGTCTTATTGAGCCATTTGAACTCGACATTAACCTTTTAATAAGTATCGGATTGAAAAGGGTGATTCGTATGATCAGAGGTTTGCAAGAAAATCTTGTATTAACAACAATCAAGTTCATCACCTCATGTTAATGTTAACACAATTCATGAAATTAAATTTGTAGTAATATAACTGCGAAAGTTATATATATAGTATAGATGAATATTTGATAATATATATCTCAAGAACGGCTCAACGGATCTCTTTGAAATTTGCAACAGATTTTAAAAATTAATCTGGAAGAACACATATACTAATAGTTATTTTTTTTTAAATTACGCGTCGACATATACGGAGGCGAGTAAGGATTAAATCTTATATTATTTGATATACAGAGAAAAAACATGTTTTTCCACACATGTTTCGGCGATGGAAACTGACAGTCTAAACAGCATCGAAAGCACATTACAGTTCATTTATTTTTTATCTCAATCTACAGTTAATATTAGGAAATAAAAATAGCACAACATTTAACTTTTAGAACTGTTGGTCTTAATAACGGTGCCGGCAAAAAGATACTGTAGAAAGTTTCTCCTCAGTTACGTGGAAAAACATAAAAGATACAATTTAACTTTTAAATAAAGATAAATAAACCAAATAACAATTCTGAAATCTCGGATTAAAACTCGACCATTTTTCCAAAACAATCTACAAGAAATTCGATTACTTATATATATTTTTTATGCTACATATCTCTAGCCACTAAATTGTTAGAAGCGAAGTTTTAGAATAAGAGAAAACCTTGTAATATACGACCTCTGGACATATTACAGGAAAGGTCAAAGTTTATCTCGTAAGAAACGCGATATTTGCTGACGATCGTATATTTTCTAGACAAATGGATAACGAAACAATTTGTATGTGGAAATCGAAAATATTATATTACATTAAAAATTATTTTGGTCTCGTAGAAAATGCAATATACATTTCTACAAGTACGTTTTTCATCCTCAAAGAATACTATCTACTTACTTAAAATAAATAATATAGTATCGACGAAAAAGGTTACATCTCTTTAGTAACTCTATTCTTTGAGGTAGTGTATTCGAACGTAAAGTTGTTTTAAAACAACATAAAGATAACCTTGATAAGAATCACACGGGCGCTTTATAACGTAAAACTAAACGTTGCCGGCTCTAGAGCGACAAACGCTTTAAAAATAACTCTTATTTTGTTTACTCAGTGTTCAAAATGCAACAGTGCGCGACAAAAAAGCTACCGTATAAACAGATACACGTTAATTCATTTGTTTTATTTGAACCGTTTTTAAACGCGCGTTAAAAAATCGCCCGTGCAAGGGCAATTATATTTGGCAATTGCTTAACAAAAGGCGTTCCGCCTGAGAGCAATAAACACGGTCCCACCACGATACATTTTCAAGGTATTAGCGAGCGTTCGCACGGACGCGAAAACGCTAGGCGGTAACTATGTGTCAAAATAGAACGTATGGGATTGTATGAAGCTGTTCATAC